GGTCCTTCCGAGTTGAGGCTCATGGTTTCTCGGGTGGGATTTGGGTGTTGTGGAAAGATGAGGTTGACCTCCAGGTGATTGACTGCAGCCGCCAACATGTCCACGCTTATGTCAAGGTGGGGGATATCTCATCCGAGGTGACCTTTGTTTATGCTAGCCCGAACCCTCGGATCCGTCGGACTTTATGGGATTACTTGAACGTGCTGGCTAGGAGAATGCGTGGACCATAGATTATAGGCGGCGATTTTAACTGTTTACTCCTGGTGTCTGAAAAGCTTGGGGGTTCAGTCAGGAATTGCAATGTCAGTACCGCGTTTTCTGACTGGACTTTTAATAATGATCTCCACGAGTTACGTATGGATGGTGATCAGGCGACGTGGTTTCGTGCGGGTCTGGCGGAAAAGTTGGATCGGTGGATTGGCAATGAGGCATGGATGGACAAATTTCCACAGTGTATGGTGTGCCATCTTCCACGCGTGCATTCGGATCATACTCCCCTTATGGTACGGACTTCTTCAGGGGAGAAGTCTCGCTGGGTTAAGCCTACGTTTCCTTGCGGCCTGGCTTACTCACGAGGGTTTCGATGAGCTGGTCTCCGGTGTTTGGACGGGGGGTGGTACCTACGAGTCGTTGGTGACAGATTTCTTATCTGCGGCCAAGGATTGGAATCATCATGTGTTTGGAAACATTTATAACCGGAAAAGGTGCCCCATGGCTCGGATTGGAGGGATACAACGACAAGAGAATGTCCAGCGCAACCCCTTTCTCCGACAATTAGAACAGCGACTCAGGCGGGAGCTAGATGAAGTCCTTTTGCAGGAGGAATTATTGATGCTTCAGAAGTCTCAGCGGAATTGGTTATTATTTAGGGACCGCAATACAGCCTTTTACCACCGGCTAGTCAAGCATAGGCGCCGGTCTACTCGAGTTGTGGTGCTCCGTGACGAGGCGGGAGGGATGGTTGATGATCTGGGAGTCATGTGCAGCATGGCCATTGACTTCTTCAGGGCCATTTATACAGAACCGGCGAGCCCGACGATTGGCGTTCCACTTGGGGACACATTTCCTTCAGTGGAGGCTAGCAGGTTGGCCGCTTTACGGAGGGATATTTCAGCCAGGGAGATTTTTCGGGCCTTAAGTAAGATGGCACCCCTAAAAGCGCCCGACCTCGATGGGCTTCCGGCATTATTTTTTCAGAAAAAATGGTCTCTCGTCGGCCCTTCAGTTTGTCAGCAGCTTATGGAGATTTGGAGAGGTGGTCGGGTCCCGGCCAGTATGAATAAAACCTCGCTCGTGTTAATCCCGAAGGTAGCCAATCCGGTGTTATTGAAGCAATTTCGGCCCATTAGCCTTTTGAACGTTGTTTATAAGTGATTGACCAAGGTCTTGGCAGAGAGGATGAAGTCAATCCTTCCTTCTATCATTAATCCGGCACAGACGAGCTTTGTCCCAGGGCGTCACATTACGGACAATATTGTGGTGGCCCAAGAGCTTATTCACTCGATGCGTACTATGAAGGGGAAGAAAGGGTTTATGGTGGTAAAGGTGGATTTGGAGAAGGCCTATGACTATCTCCGTTGGGAGTTTATCCGCGACACGTTGCTGCTGGTGGGCTTTCCGGCTATATTCGTGGAGGCTGTTATGGCTTGCGTCACGTCGGCCTCTATGCAGTTAAGTTGGAATTGTGGGGTTAGCGAGGAATTTTGTCCGTCGAGGGGTGTCCGTCAAGGTGACCCGATATCGCCCTATTTGTTTGTACTATGTATCGAACGTCTGGCCCATATGATTGATTCTTCAGTGGCGGCTGGGGGCTGGAGACCAATGACGGTAGGGAGAGGTCAGGTGTTAGTGCCTTATTTAATGTTTGCTGATGATCTACTTTTATTTATTGAAGTTGATGTCGTCCAGGCGAATATTTTGAGAGGAACACTTAACAGATTTTGTGAGGCCTCGGGCTTGAAGGTAAGCGAACCTAAGACTCAAGTTTTCTTTTCTTCGAATGTTGTGCCCGAAGACAGACTATCCCTGGATAGCCGTCTAGGGTTCGAGGCGGTTCAGAACCTTGGAAAGTACTTGGGTATGCCCATTATTCACGGTCGGGTGAATAAGGCAACGTATAATGAAATCTTGGAAAAAGCGGAGAACCGACTTTCGGGATGGAAGGCTTCAACCCTCTCCATGGCAGGGAGAGTGACTCTTGCTCAGTCAGTTTTGAGCTCGCTTCCTTATTTCTCCATGCAGATCGTTTCTTTGCCATATGGGGTGTGCGACAGCCTGGAACGGAAATGCCGTAATTTTATTTGGGGAGGCACGGACTCAACCCGAAAAATCAGCCTTGTCTCATGGTCGGAAGTGTGCCAGCCAAAGATGGATGGTGGATTAGGGATGAAGGGCCAACGGCTAATGAATCGGGCCTTACTTATGAAGCTTGTCTGGATGTTTTTTAAAGAGCCGAATTTATTGTGGTGTCGGGTTCTACGGGCTAAATACAATCTGGAGCCACATGCGATGGGAATGGACTTTGAGTTTCCCCAAGGATCGACGGTTCTTCGAGCTATCCGGGACGTGTGGAGGCCCACGCTGGCGGGGAGCAGATGGTCCGTCGGCAATGGCCATACGGCTCGCTTTTGGTGGGATAGGTGGCTCCACTGTGATTTCTCGCTGATTCAAAAAGCAACGGGCCCGGTACCTGAGGGTCTTCTTTTCGAGCCGGTCTCGGCTTTTGTGACGGCGGAAGGCGGCTGGAATTGGCCGCTTTTTCAAGGCCTGCTCCCAGCCACGTGTTTGCTTAGGATTTCCGCAGCTACAGTGCCACGGGCGAATGGGGAGGAGGGTGTCGTGTATTGGGGACTTTCAGCGGACGGTAAGTTCTCGACGAGATCCGCTTATTCAGCTTAATATGGAAGTGGGACGGGCCTCAGCGCGTTCGAAATTTCTTATGGTTAGCAGCTCG